CCCCCCCGCCATTCTGTAACCCAACATAGCCACAAAGTGACTGGTTGAACAGGTCACATCAAGAAAAAAAAATGAAACCGTAATTAAAGGAAAATAGCTCGAGGCGAGGTCGGCACCTCTACCATACTGCCATTAAGAAGAAGCTATTCAGACACAAATGTAGACTGTAAAACGTTTAAAATTGTTGAACCTGAAATGTTAACACAAACCGTTTCACAAGATCACCCGATATGAAGCATCTTCGTAATCATGAGATTGCAGGTTTGGGGGTTCGAGCTGTGGGCCGGACGTTGTGTCCTTGGCAAAGGCACTTCGAACGGATTTCCCTCATTTCATGGGTACCTAGCTATAGACAGCGAAATATATCGTCAGTATGTCACAGCGTTTGATGCCCTTCATCGCTTTTTCTGGACTACTTTGTCTATTATATATTTGGCAACTTAGAAACACGTGTGTCACTGTTCTCTCAAGATTTATTGCTCCATTCCAGTAGTGTGTAATAGGCCAATGATTTTCAATTGATGTTAATGCACCGATCATTCCTTTCATCGAAAGGGGGCCCAGCTAAAGGTAGTTTATGAGAGTCACTGTCTTTCTATTTGCATGATTCGTGGAGCTATCTCTTTACCTAAAACATACATTAAGAGCCTTTATTTTTGTTGAACCTTAAATTTTGTATTTTATAATATATCTAAACCTAAATGCAGAAACATCTCGCGTCTCAGGTAGTCAGAGAAGAGCTCGTCCCCCTGGCGAACTATCTACCCACGCCATACCACTAGCCCACCCCACATCCCTGCGCGACTCTAGTCCGAAAGTCACAGGGACGGGCGTGGCACGCACGCACACGCAGGCACGCACACTCACACGCGCCTGGGCGTACACTCCTACCCATCACTCTCACTTGCTCACACCGGGCCGCGTTGGAGGAATCACGCCGTTGTGTCGGGCCGGCCGCACGAGCGTTGGAACACCTTACAGACAGTGAGTGACGCCGGGCACAGGGAAGAAGCACCCGCTCACCACACAACACCCGGAAGAGGCCGCCACCACCACCCCGCGCCAGCATTCCAAGAACTCGTCGCTAGCCGCCCAAACTGATAAGCTCTGCCAAAATCGTTCATCACCGCCAGCAGCATCGCTATCTACCGCCAAAACCGTGAACGACAGCCAAAATTATTTGACAAACAAAACAACCATCAAAAAAGAATCGCGGATGGGGAATCTCTGAGAGGGAGTGACAACTGCTTGCCGCGGAGTTTCCCAAGCTGTGACAACGACCCGTGTATATATATAAAGCCGCCCCGGCTGAACGGATCGGTCACAAGAACGGATAATCTTTGCAGTCGGTAAGAAGTGTAAGTGATTGCACATGTGCGTGCGAGTTGAGAACTTACTCAGGAAAGGGGGAAAGTGACGATAGTTCTTCTCAGTGGTTATACAATAAGCAATCGCCACTTTCATCCAAGCAAGCCGTCAGCTCTTGCCAACGCAATATCCTGCATTGTGCGTCAATTTTCTCAAGTTGATACAGAGGCAGGCTCGCTCTTAAACTACACAGTTACACACTAAGAAGGACGGAGAGGGGTGTTGTCAAACACTTGACACACAATTGAGAAGACGCTGTGAAGGGGATAGCGAAGGTTAATTCGTCGTCCTCTCTAAACCTATAATATAGACGGGTATAAACACACGGAAAAAGTACGGACGAACAGACCTCAGTGGAGACTTTTCATTCTCGGAGTACTCAGTTATACATATTTTTACGGCGTTGTATTTACCAACACCTTGACGACTAAAAAGTCAGCGTGAAGAAGAGTGAATACCATGGAGGAAACAGACGGAAGAAGAGGCACAATTTATACCAGGAAAACCAGAATAATTAATACTGTTGTGGCAGTCCCAAAATCGCCGTAAAATTGCTCTCACATATACATTTGTATTGGAAATGTTGAAAAATCTGTACAGAAAAAATAAGACAAGCGAAGACAAAAAACTATAAGAATAATATAAAACAAACTCAGAAACAACAGCAAAAGGTGTAACAAAAGAACACTTTAAGACAAAGACTATATCCACCGAACAAACCAATTACACATCAAAAGACTATCCAAAATAAATATTCGCCTTAAAACTGAACAAAAATAGAAACACCAATGGACAAAAACAAAAGCTAAACAGACCACCCAGAGCATACCCCGATTCCCCTGGATTTTCAAATTATACGCGTGTTCGCCGGCTCCCCGACAGTGACTGACGTAACAAGCCGTTATTACCAGTGACCCCGAGCAGGAGGCGGAATGCCACATAGTGGAGTCGTGCGCACCCTCCAACACGTCAGGAGTAGGACGAACATCTCCACTATCTACTTTCTCCCTTGCCAGGACGAGTCCACTGTGTCACAGCGCCTGGATTGAGGACTGGCCAGCTCTTGGATACGGTCAGCCCGGAAATTGTGCCGGAACCTGCCCGTCATTTTGACAACAGGTGAGTGGGGATGATTGCACCTTCTCGAAGCCTCGACATTTCTTAATTTCCTTTTTTTCATTTCGGTCCTATTCATCTGTCGTACCATCTTAATGCGCTCCTAGATTTGTAAAAATGTCAAATTTTGAAGTAGGGACATTTGGCCAAGTGGCCAAAGTACGAATGCTTTTCGCCATCGTTACAAGGTTTTTATCTCCTACCTGCGTATCTGTTATTACTAATCATGCTCCCTGCCCAAATAAATATAGGAAAATATTTCACAATTCTATTTCCACATACACAATTTACTCATCATAATTCCCGCAAACAAAACACACAAAAATAAACAACAAAACAAAGGAACAATACTGAAACAAAACAACAGAAACATAATAAATAGCTACGTTTGACACATGCTTGAAGAGTACAATTCTGTTAAATGAAATGAAAAAAGAAAAGTACCCCAATTCGTAGCTACTTTTTAAATTGAAACTAAAACATTTCTCGAGATTTTATTTTTCGTTATCTGGTCTGTTGTGCGTGTGTGAGTACTCTTGGAAGAAAGTGGGGAGGGAAATGGATGGGGGAGGGGGGGGGGTGTAAAGGAGTTGAAGTTTAGGGTGGCAGGATTCCAGGAAGACTCATGGTGAAAACGAGCGTGACCTCACATGTCTCCTGTTTCACAACCATTGAGAAACAACCACCCCTCCCTTTTTCCCCTCCCTCTTACCTCTAACACACACACACACACACACACACACACACACACACACACACACACACACA